ATGTCTGGAACGACCCATTTTCCTCAGAATTTCAGAGAGAAATGCACTGTAACCAGCATGTACAACATTTGCTGCCTTTCTTCCTTTAATAAGGGCAATAATTGCCACCTGTTTTTCAAAGAATGAATGACCTCACTAATAGAACGCCACACTGCTATTATTTTGAACATGCCCCTTTCAATTAGTGATTCAATGACACAGAATCAGCAGCATGCATGTCATGACTGTTGGGTCTGTTGGATTTCTATTCCTCTACTACACCTGCTAGGAAATAATTTTCCATGTGGAAATATCATTTCTACCAAAAACAGTGACTGATCCGGATAGTGATGTCTGACGGCTATTATTTTGAACACAACTGTATCTTTTGGATGCTGCCGTAAATGTAACTTGGAAGTAGCATACCACATGTTCGCTCCATAAGATGCACTTTTTTACCCCCACCCAAAAAAAAAAAAAAAAAAAAAAAAAAAAAAAAAAAAAGTCTTATGGAGCGGCCAGCCTGGTATTCCCGCCGCCGCGTTAGAAAACCGGGCTCTGCACAGTAGAGCAACTCAGCTCTACTGTGCAGAAGAACCTGCTCCTCAGTCCACTGGTGTCCTGCTTTCACTGGCCATCCTCTCTCCTTTGCGCCGGCATCTTCAGTGTGGGCACCCGGCTGTGACAGCTTGCGGCTTCACTGCCCACTGCGCATGCGCAAGAAGCGCTGCACTTTGTGAATGGCCCCGTAGTCTTCTGGGACCTGTCACGTATCCCACAAGACTACGGGGGGGGGGGGGGAAGGGGTCATCGGACAACTCCGCTGAAGTGGGAGCAGGTACCGGTCAAATTTTTCTTGTTTCCCTCCTCTAAGATTTAGGTGCGTCTTAAGAGAGCAAAAAATACGGTATTCGTTCTATAACTCAACTAGGACACTACCTGCATGTTCTTCCTGTGCGGGTTTCCTCCAGTTACTCCAGTTTCCTTCCACCCTCCAAAGACACAATGAAAGGTTCATTGGCTGCTGATTAAAACGGAACCTAGTGTGTGTGTGCACACGCGCATATATCGTATGTATGTGAAATAGGGACCTTAGATCGTAAGCTCCTTCAGGACAGGGACTGATGTCAACGTACAAATAAAGAGCTGCATAAATTGGTGTTTTATAGATAAAGAGCTATCACTTTACATACTGCTTCAACTGCTGACACTGCCCTGGAATGTGCAGAATACTTAGAAAGACATTGTAAAACAAACTAAAAGAAGATCAAGTAGGAGGACTGAAAAATTGGTACGCATATTTACCAGCATCCGAAGCAGTGGGAGAAGGGGGAGGCGTGGCTGCAGTAACACTGTGCTTATCCCAGATACTCTCCAGCACACCTGGGAGTGAAAACCAGGCAAGAATTCTACAATTAAAATCTACAAAATTACAGAACAAAAATAAAAAATAAAATCTGTCAATAACAATGCAGACTGTTCTCGCTCAAGACTGCCCATTGGTAAGGTTTTCATACAATGACTCTGTAGGACTGAGGTCATAAGACCCACAGCATAAGCGCAGGATTCCTAGGATAAACCTGTTGTCTCTAAGATTGGCTCAACTGACCTAAACCTAGGAATTTGCAGGCACCTCTATGCTCCAGATTTTATCCTTAGTTTCTTGAATACATTCCCCAATGCTATGCGCTATGACCGTCTGTTTTCTAATTGTGCACGCCAGACATGAACATGTCAAAATCGCCTTCCACTCTAGGCATCCCCTAATGCCATTGAGCCTGGGTTCACATATATGCGGTGCGGTATATCTTATGTGGAACAGACCGCATTCCTGTGCAAATAACATGCGATTTGTGTGCGGTGCGATTGGAGCCATACATTTTGTATGGCTCTAATTGCACTGCACCCGCACCAAAAAAAAGGCGCAGGACCCTTTTTTTTTGTCCGCACTAGAATCAATCATGGGTACCTTCACACCTATGTGCATCTGATTCTGCATGGGTATGCCATGTGAGCTGCTGGATATTCACACCCATATGACCGGTGCATGGGTATTCTTATTCTGTGGAACAGACCGCATTCCTGATCCTGCAAATATTCACACATGTGATTTGTGTGCGGTGCGATTGGGGAGCCATACATTTTGTATGTGGCTCTAATTGCTGACTGCATGGGTACACACCCATGTGACCTGATTCTGCATGGGTATTCACACCATGTGACCTGATTCTGCATGGGTAAACCCATGTGAGGATTCTGCATGGGTATTCACACCCATGTGACCCTGATTTTGCATGGGTATTCACACCATGTGACCCTGATTCTGCAGTATGGGTATTCACACCCATGTGACCCTGATTCTTCATGGGTATTCACCGCATGTGAGATTCTCATGGGTATTCACATGCATGGGTATTCACACCTCAGATTCTGCATGGGTATTCACACCTATGTGATTCTGCATGGGTATTCACACCCATGTGATCCGATTCTGCATGGGTATTCACACCCATGTGATCCTGATTCTGCATGGGTATTCACACCCATGTGATCTGATTCTGCATGGGTATTCACACCCATGTGATCTGATTCTATTCACACCCATGTGATCTGATTCTGCATGGGTATTCACACATGATCTGATTCTGCATGGGTATTCACACCCATGTGATCTGATTCTGCCTGATTCTCTGCATGGGTATTCACACCCATGATTCTGCATGGGTATTCACACCCATGTGATCTGATTCTGCACACCCATGTGATCTGATTCTGCATGGGTATTCACACCTATGTGATCCGATTCTGCACATCGCACCACGTTTAGCAGACCACTTTCGGGGTGTTAACATACACACCCGCAGTGGTTCGCACGAACGGGGTGCAATTCTGATGCAGTGCAGAATTTGCACAGAAAATGCTGTGAATTCCACACCGCAACAGTGTGAACCAGAGTTCACGGTTTGTGTGTCCTATGCAGGAACAGGAGTCATGCCGGAGCTCCCTCCTCCGGGCATCTCTCAATGCCAAGTGCAATGGCTCTCAGTCTTATAGAGAGACATTTACTCCAATAGGACACGACAGATCTCCCTTCTTCCTAAGGTATAGCCCAACACTTTTTTGTGAGATCTCTCTATCCTATACATAGGGATATGCACTGCAGAAAGACGTCATATCGCCTTCCTTATTCATGCGTCCCTTGATGCGATGTGCTAGGTCTCACTGACCTATACAGAGAAGCTTGCATAGGAAACATTCAACAGCCTGCACCCTATGACTAAGTGCTTCGCACGAAACGCGTCAGTGTAAGGGGCTACAGCATCCTGACGTCCTGCCGCCGTTGGCGGCCATCTTTATACACATGGTCAGTATTTTGGTTTGTTCTTTCCTTGTATGTTTTGCACCTTTGTTGGAATAAATACCCTACTGAATGCAGTATCACGCTATGTGGCATTATTCTTGGGCTCTCTGCGAGTTTCACCATCCACAGAGGCCAGTTTAGAAGTGTCCTGAGACAGTGATACCATTTGAGGGGTCCTTAAAGTCACAGGCGCAGGAACCGGACCATACCTGGAAGAGATTGTTCTGGCTGACCTGATGAGACTATTATGATCTCAAATGCGTTTTGATAGCGCACTTCTGGTGAGTGCGCAATTCACTTATTTATTATCTTTTCATCACATCACCGGTCATTCCTGATTTTAAGGAACTGAACTCCTAGAATTAAGATCTGATATGACCTACAAGTCTACAATTTGGATTTATTCTCACTGACTCACCTTTCGAACCACTTACCTGTGGTGGAATACTACCTTTTGTACCTTAATAATATTGTATTTATATTGTAGTATTGCCTGTCTCATTATACTTTACTTATTCATATAACAGCGCTGCAATATTTCCTATATACATTCAATACTACATGTTATAATTCCATGTCCTAAGTGAGCACTGCAGATGGGCATGCCAGCACTTTCCAACTCCATGCATCCCTCAAAGCCTTGCATTATGAGAAACATATATCACAGATGAATATGCTAACACTCCACGGACACAGATGCAAAGCAGCATGCCACAGCTCCAATCTCGAGAGCAAAAAGTGAAAGTTTGCATACTTAGTACCCTGGGGCCAGGGACTCCCAGGACTGCACACCAAACATGAAAAATTAACATTTTTATTTCCATTTTGGACAAAAAAAAAAAAAAAAAGGAAGGAGAAATATAACCCGTGTCAGTTTTTTTTTTGGTCATCTTTGTCCCATTGCTGATGTTTCTATTCACTTTCTGTCCTAAACTGCAACAGAAAGGGAGAGGAAATCCCTCCAAAGCAGGGAAATCCCTGGTAGTCACCAGACCTATTGTTCCTATTGGAAGACTTCTCTTCTATTCCTCTTTTGGTGACCACTAAAATTTGGGATTTTCTTTCACCTACACTGATAACTGTCTACAGGACAAATACACAGAGGGACACTGACAGAAATAGACCCCTGACAGGTGTGCTAAGCTCTCTCCACTATATTCAACATAGTTTTACTTTCAGTTATACTTGAAAGAAAAACTAAAATTGAAGTTTATAAAAAAAAAAAAAAAAAAAAAAAAAAAAAAGGGACAGTAGCTTAGTAGTGTACACTTCTGTTTTGCAGCACTGCAGTCTTCAGTTTGAATACGGTCCAGGATGCTATATGCACGGGGTTTGCAGGTTCTGCCGCGCTGCTTGATTGGGTTTTCTCCCACACCCCAAAGACATGCTGGTAGACGGTCTTAATTGGCCCCATCACGTGTGTGTATGTACGTGTGCAAGCAAGATAGGGACCTTAGGAGTGTAGATTGTAAGCTCAGAGGATCAGGGCCCTCCTAACCCTCTTGTATTGAACTGTATTGTTGCTGTATTGTCTCCCGTTCCATTGTAAAGCGCTAAGCAAACTGTTGGCACTATAAATCTTGTATAATAAGTTGTGAATGAACAGAATGTAAAGCTGTCGCCATCATCAGGAATCCGAGCAAAATTCAGTGAGGCTTACCTGTTAGCAGACCCAGCACTGTTGGCACTTGATCTAGCAGCAGCTTGCGAAGTTCCTCTTTCCTGGCCACACTAAGGTCCTCCCTAGGACACGCCAACTCCTCAGATGCCGTCTTTAACATTATGAGCCCCAGCGGTGTGGTGCTGGGGGTCTGGATTAGCTAGAGAAGGGGAGAGAGAAATGTCATTACATGAAGAGCATCTGAACAGTTTTTCAGGATTAATGCCCTAAATGACTGAAGCCACTGAACCAGCATTATAACCAGGCATCTAAAATTTTCAGATGTTAGCCTTCTCAGAGAGTTTGCTTTAACTAGATAGGTGACTTAATAAAAAGATCCTTGCATTGTTTTTCTTCTCACCTGTAAGATGTTGGTAAAGAAGTCATGGTAGAACATTGGCCAGTCCTGTCTGCCCATATCCACTATGACCTTGCACAGCTTGTTGCAGATGAATCCTGGGAGAGTCTTGTGTTGGGTTAGTAGAAGTTTGGGTAAGGAGCTACGGATCTCCATCTTTTCCTCTGAAGGGACACCCAGCCACATCTTGTTGATCAAATTCTATTAATCCCCAAAAAAAAAGAAAAAAAAAAAAAAAAAAAAAAGTAGGTAAATCTTTCTATTCGCCAAGCAAATAAACTATGTTATCTTTATAATTTGCTTTAATCACGTCAAATGTATTTATTTTCCTAAAAATTGCAGCTTTGGCAGACAAAACAGAACTTTTACGGCTATGCAAAATGTATTCTTTTCATGGAAGGTCAACAGCTAAGCCTTCATTACGCAGACAGAAGTGCCACATGACTGTCATAAGGAGGTCAGGGTTGTCTGACGTGAGTTCTAATTGACAGCTGTACTTTACCATCTCTTTGCTATAAGAGAGGCAATATGGTGACACTCAATGGGTTAACAACTGGGCCTCTGGGTATAGATTGCAGCAGAGTATCTGTTTACCACTTGTGAACCAATTAGCAGATTATGAACTTCTATTTGGTAGCAGTTTCTGTGGGTACCACCAAGGGAAGCTGTTGCTTTTATGGGGTAACTGGGCTAGGAATTGTGCGTCAGGCTTTGGGCTTTTCTTGATGGCATGAGTTTGACATTCATTTGAGATCCTTCCAAGATCATTTAGAATGTGACAGGTGCAGCGGAGCACCTTCTGAACTGCATTTGGCCTGGTTGTACGGGTATGTACGGGTATGCAAAAATCAATCTGAAGCAATAAAAAAAAAAAAAAAAAAAAAAATAGGATTTTGGTGCTCACCACAAAATCCTTTTCTTGGAGTCCACTGACAAACCATGGCAGTCACTCACCTTCAGGTTATACTGCTGCCTACAGGTTATGTTGTGCTGTAAGCCAGCACAGTATAACCCGTCAATCACAGCCAGTAAGCCAATTAGGAGAGGGGGGGTGGAGCCAAGTTGCGACTGTGTATGTGAATGAACATGCTGAGCTGCAACTCAGGAGCACTCCTGCGCAGGGGCCCCTAGAGCAATCTGCTTGCTGTGGGATCACCCAACAGGAGGGAGGGTCCAGGAGCACCAGCAGGAGAGACCCAAGAGAGGAGCAACTGGACTGCTCCGTGCAAAACCATTGCACAGAGCAGGTAAGTATGACATGTTAGATAAAGTCTTGTGGTTTTTTTTTTAAACAACACTAATGGTCAGGATCTATTTTAGTGCAGAGAGGAAATTGCTGGTCCAGACCTAGTCGCAGGAAAAAAAAAAAAAAAAAAAAAAAAAAAGAAGGACTCATTGCAGAGAGAAAAGTACTAGGGTATAAGCCCCAAGATTCACACCAAGTTAAGTGTGCCTTCCGTGTCTGATGATAGACATTCCAGAAAGTAGCCTTCTTGGTCTTTAACATCGTAGGAATGAAAGATTCAGAGATGTCTTAGTCTCAAAACCTGGACTTCAACAGCCATGTCGTTAAAGCAGGCAACCATAAAGAAGAATGGCAGATGTATCCTTGAGACAGAAGATCAAAATGACCTGGCAGAGGCCCCAGGAGCATCTGCCAGAAGTCTTAAAAGACGTATTATATCAACCTGGGCCAGTCCAGGGAAAGAATGATCACCAAAATGACCTCCATCTTGAACCTGCAAAGCAGATAGGGAAGAGGTTTTAGGTGAAGAAAGGCATAGATCAGGGTGTACTGATACCACAGAGCCCCCAGAACATCCACTGCTTCTGCTAGAAGATCCCAGTACCTGCAGACAGACCTGCCCAGTTTGGTATTAAACCTGAAGGCCAGGAGGTCCACATCTGGTGCTCCCCATCTTTGACACAGGCCCTTGAACACCTTTGGGTGCAAGGATCAATCCCCCCAGTCCAGACACTGCCAAGCTGAGGTAATCTTCAACTGTCTACAATTGACTACATCTAAGATATACAAGGCAGACAAGGCAGGAACGTGAAGTTCTTTCCAGGACAGGATCCGATCTACCACTTTTGCTGTGGTGAGACTTCTGGTTCCTCCCTAATAGTGGATGTATGCCACGACCAAGGCATTGTTTGACTGAACCCAGATTGGATGACCTTCCAGCAGGATAGCAAGGTGCTGGTGAAAGGTCTTTGAATGTGCAACTTATAAGAAGCACGGTCTTACTTAATACTGATAGTCCAATACTTCTTCATCCCCGTTCACACTATAACCCGCATGTGAATCGCACAGAAACTGCACCGCATTCCTGTTACATTTTGTACACATTGCTACATTCTCAACCACATAAGTAAGCAAACATCTTAACCCCATGCAACATTGTTATCATATACAGTAGATTACCTGTGCTGATATTTTATTATTTATTTCAGATATCTCTATTGCGCCATCAATTTTACGCAGCGTTTACACATATATATTGTACATTCACATCAGTCCCTAACCCTCAAGGGGTGTACAATCTAAGGTCCCTAACTCATATTCATACATACACATACTAGGGACAATTTAGACAGATCCAATTAACCTACCAGCATGTCTTTGGAGTGTGGGAGGAAACCGGAGTACCCGGAGGAAACCCACGCAGGCAGACTGCTGGGATTCGAACCAACAACCAAAGTACTGCCAGGCGTAAGTGCTAACCATTTAGCCACTGTGCTGCCCCATATTACTGTCTGGTCCAGAGTTCAATCTTTTGATACTTTTCAGATAACCACTCACTAGGACGCAATGGATAGGTTTTGTGTATATATAAAAATGATTTATTTTTAACTTTGGTCTTTAATATAGTTTATTGACAATTTTCCAGTATAATTGGAAGTTGCGCACACATGATTTGATACACCAAAATATATGCACATATCAAATATTATAACATGCGAATTTACTATATGAGATTCTCTGTTCCAACTTCATGTGTTTCTGGTCTTAAAGTGGTCCTGAAGACTGTGTTCAGCAGCCCCCCCAATACTTACCAGTGATGTGCACAAGTGCCTCAGCTCTCCGGGGACTCTCCCTCTTCACTGGCTGAGACAGCGGTGGGAGTCATTGGCTCCCACTGATAATCACAGCCAGTGATCCAGTAAAGAGAGAGGGGTGGGGTCAAGCTGCAGCTGTGTGTGTAAATAGACACGCAGAGCAGCAGCTTGAGAGTGAGCCAACCTGGGTGCCCCCATAGCATTTGGCAGATGGGAGGGGCCAGGAGGCAGGCAGGGGAGCCAACAAGAGGAGGATCAGGGCTGCTCTGTGCAAAACTACTGCATAGAGCAGGTAAGCATGTGGTGTTATTTTTTAGTTTAAAAAATTGCCTTTAATATCACTTTAGCATTATACATACGGAGGTTATCAAATGTATTTTTTGTTTACAGAATACAGATTTTTTCTGAATCTATACCTAATGCAATAAATGTCATCAGCCATGTTTGTTCTTTTTTAGTACTGCAAATCAGACATTGATAATGATCATACCAGTCATATATTTATAGTCCTGGAGAAGGATGACTTTTACAACCCCCAAGACGAGAAGGCTTTTCCTTGCCAATTACTTACAATCACACACACACACACACACACACACCTTATACTGGACTTCTAGACATATTTTATTTTATATGTATATTTTCCTATAGAAAAATCTACGGATGTCCTAGGACAAACAGGGAAGCGAGTTGACTCAAATACAAAAGAAAAAAAAAAAAAAAAAAAAAAAAACAACAACTGACAAGTGTTACCCAGGACCCTGCATTTGCTATATCCAGTCTCCCACAGTACACATAACATGGAAATGCAATTATTTTAATAAATATTCAGTGAAGCCTACCCCACCCTCACCTAACGGCCATTCATGGCCCTGTGCTGATCACATGCACTCTCCCAAGACCCCCCCGGAAAAAAAAAAACAAAAAACCTATAGCAATACACACCAAACTGAGAAAGTGCAGCTTGCCCCCCAAGCCTCTGTTCTATGAGGAGATACTTAGGAGACACTGGAAGAAGGTGAAGATCAGAGAAGTCAGGAGAGAAAACATAATTTTTACACAATGCAGAGGATTAACCCCTTAGGTTCCACAGCAAGTATAACAAGCATACTTTACTGCATATACAGACTGATTTTACGGTTGTGGGTTTAGTAACACTTTAAATGCACATCGAGTTATCCAAAGTTAGGGATGTTAGAACCAGTCAAAATGTACGATTCAACTATATTCAGATATCTATTCTTCTCACATTGACAGGTCTCAGCAGACAGACCGTGTCTGCTGGAGCCCCACAGATATTAAATATTTTGCCAGTTAGGCTAAAAAAGGCTGCATGGAAGAAAGTCTACATCTATTGACCCTACAAGTCAACGTTGTCCTTAAAAAGCAGAAACCAACAATCTTGAGGGAATATTTAATGCACCAAGTATAGGTCTGGATCATGTAGTTCTTGTGTTCTGAATTGCTTCCACTTTGGATTAGTACATGTTCGCACTGGGACGGGGAGCCAAGCACCGCTCACTTCTGCACGGGACCGATAACAGATGTCTGTGCCGGTCAAGTTACACACTTCACCTGACATGAACCTGTTAGGAGGCCTCAGAGTGGAACTTGCTGTTGAACTGAGCTGCTGGCTCAAAGTTATAGAAACAGAAAAAATCCCCCCGCACATGACAAGCCCGATACGGAGAAGCCCTGCTAAAGCATGATAGAGTTACACTTTCTATTCAACAAATGAAACGATCTAGGGACACACTAGCCACAGGAGGAGTAGTTGATGAGCACCTCTATGTCTACATCCCTGTGACATGCAAGTTGCTACCTGAAAAAACAGATACCACTGCCAAAGAGTGCAGCCAGGCCCCTGCTGATTGACCCTACAGGGGTTTGATAATTGGGGGGAGGCTTTGCCAATAGCTATTCATGGCGAGTCATCAGGAGGCTGGTGGTCTCTATTCTTGCAGCCAACCCCTTGATAAGCTGTGGCTCATTTGTGTATCACTGGGGGTCGACCACAAGAACCTGGAAGAAACAGCCAGCTCCTGGTGACACCACTGAAGAAGGTGGCGACATAGGACCAGGTATGCTAGATCCCTACAGGCAACCATTGGATCACTTGATATGCGGATAGGCTTTTTGCAAATAACCCAGTGAAAATGATATGGTAATAGTGGTGATGATGGTGGTGATGGGGGTGGGGATTCCTGACAGCCTCTAATTAATATTTCTAATTGGCCTTGTCACTTGACCAGAGTTCTGTAGGTGAGAGACACACTTGCCACAGGAGGAGTAGTTGATGAGCACCTCTGTCTACATCCCTGTGATATGCAAGTTGCTACCTGAAAAAACAGATACCACTGCCAAAGATTGCAGCCAGGCCCCTGCTGATTGACCTAACGGGATTGATAATTGGGGGGGGGGGGCTTTGACAATAGCCATTCATGGTGAGTCATCAGGAGGCTGGTGGTCTCTCTGTTCTTGCAGCCAACCCCTTGATGATAAGCTGTGGCTCATTTGTGTATCACTGGGGGTCGACTGCAAGAACCTGGAAGAAACAGCCAGCTCCTGGTGACACCACTGAAGAAGGTGGCGACATAGGACCGGGTATTCTAGATCCCTACAGGCAACCATTGGATCACTTGATATGCGGATAGGCTTTTTGCAAATAACCCAGTGAAAATGGTATGGTAATAATGGTGATGATGATGGTGATGGGGGCATGGATTCCTTTCTGACAGCCTCTAATTAATATTTCTAATTGGCCTTATCACTTGACCAGAGTTCTGTAGGTGAGAGACACACTTGCCACAGGAGGAGTAGTCGATGAGCACCTCTGTCTACATCCCTGTGACATGCAAGTTGCTACCTGAAAAAACAGATACCACTGCCAAAGATAGCAGCCAGGCCTCTGCTGATTGACCCAAGAGGGGATCGATAATTTGGGGGGGGGGGGGGGGGGGGGGGGGGGGGGGGAGGTTTTGGCAATAGCTATACCCCCTACACAAGGGTAACAACCCTGTCCCGAACTGACTAGTGGTCTTAGAGTAGTGTAATCCTATTAAAAGAAGTGGATGATCAATCTACAGGAACTTTTTGCACATCGATGAGAAACTAAAGGCAGACCATTTCAACATTGTTATGTAACTGTGATTGCTGCATTGCACATTTTTCTATTACAAATTTGACCATAATCTACTATCCTAAGGTCTTACCTCAAAGACGCTGAGGCTGTACATCAACACATAGTCATTGTGCGAGCTGGACAGGAAGTAGAAGCAGAACCTCCAGGCTCCAAGCTGCTGAGCAAAATTATTCAGCAAAGCCTCTGTAAAGAGAATTTGAAAATGTCAGAAAGACAACTTTACATTTTCTAAAACACAAAGTCTTCATTTAATTTTTCGGTTTATTTTTCATGTGGATCTACTGTGCCTCTATTGGAGCCTTGGCCAAAAGGATTCCTTACCACAGGGTCCTTTAGCTTCAGAACACACCATGGGCCTCAATAAAAAGGTGTATAAAATACACAAAAAGGGTTTGGGCTGACTGCAACAACTTGTAGCCTCCCTAGCGGTCTGATTATGTCAGTATTTCTGTACTCAAAGCGGTACTTTTTTTGCATGGAAATATGTAGTTTTTTTTTTATTGTAGGCCTGTAATTCTTAGGAATAACTCACTAAAATCTTTCCAAACAAGAGTCTAGTAAACATCCCGGGTATGTTAAAATTTGAAACATGAAATCATAAATTATAATTTAATAATCATAAAAAAATAATAAATGTAATTCAATAATATAATCAAACCAAACACACTGAAATTTGAAATATAGCGCCAAGTTCGCACATCACTGAGCAAAGTCATAAAATCGTTTTCAGTGTCTGATGACGAATTTCCCCACGAATCATTATCACTCAATTCTGCAAGTGGATCTGATTTACTAACGCTGTTCTCTAGCCGGTCTAAAACTGCTTTTGACCTAAAAAGGGACACTTTTTGGATGCCATGGACTTTTCTCAGTTTCCAGGCAGAAAGAACAGTAAAAATGCAGGCAGGGCACAGGACAAAGCACTCGGGACAAAATGTATGTGAAATGCTTTGATACAGGAATGTTATACTATGTGATTTTAGTGTACTTAGTGAATGTCACTTTTTGGCCTTTTTTTATTTCCCGCCAGTTCCGTCCCCCGTACGTCCCGACGCTAGCAGGGAACGGAACCCGGAAAACAGATGCCGGTGTCCACCGGAGGACATTGCCGGGGACACTGCAGGAGGGACATCGCGGGAGCGCAGGACAAGGTAAGTGCAGAAGGGATCCCGGAGCAATGCCGCAAGATATTCCCGAATGTAGCTCAGGGTTACCGCTTGTGGTGCTAAATCATTACCCCGAGCTACACTCAGGAATAACTCCAAGGAGGTTAATAAGGAGAAAATGGAAAAATCTGCTTGGCTGTTTTTAGAAAAACTGACCAAGCCCATTCTTTCCTCGTTGATGCCCTAAATATTTTATTTGCTGATAAAAAAGGAAACAAAAGCAAACTGTAACCACATGAACCAACCAGGATCTTATTTGGTTTCAAAAAGACATTGCCTGAATACTAAAAAGACATTTAAAAAGACACACTAGGGTGTAGGAAGGAAGAGAGCGCCACAACTGTTTGAATAGGTCATTAAGTCTTTCCTGCGATATAGCAAAATCACATTTTTGGGGGAGGTCAACAATCGCCCTTCATCAACGCTAAAGATAATTATAAATACATTTTATATATAAAAACACAAAAAATAATTGATCAGAGTTGGTATACAGAATTTCCCAGAAATGTAATTTCCTACATGTGAGATTGGCTTACTGATTTTTCCCACAAGTCTACACTGAGGTACAAGTCAAAATTTAGGCATCTTCTGCAATAGTTATATTTTTGGTGAGAAACGTCCCCAAAGGGAGATTTACTTCTAAAAAGGGATGAAGGCCCTATGACTTTCCTTATTAGAAGACTGCAAGTATATCAGCTGATCAGAACCAATGCAGAAACTCCCATTCATGAATTAGCCTTGCGTGCCAGATGTGGTTTCGCAGTGCGGTTTCTGCTGTGACATGTGTGAACTGAATGAGATTTCTGAGGGGACTGGGCATAGCAGGAGATGAATTTTGCACCCGCACTAAACTGGCACAGGACTTTTTTGAAAAGGATCAAATTTGCACTGCATATATGTGAACAGGCCTCATTGGAAATAATGCTTTGACATTACATGCGAATCTGTTTTTCTGAACGCATCTGATCCGCACAGAATTTGCAGCAGTGTCAACTGGCACTCAGCCCGAGTTCACACTGATGTGGTAGGGCACATCGCATGTGATTCGGACCGCATTCCTGCGCAAATAACATGCGATTTTTGTGCGGTGCAATTCGAGGCATACATTTTGTATGGCTCAGATCGCACCGCATTCGTAACAGAATAGTGCAGGACCCTTTTTTTTGGTCCGCACCAGAATCGGATCGCATGTGTATTCATACCTATGTGATCCGATTCTGCGCATCGCACCGCGTTTTGCAAAACCAGTTTCAGGGGGTTGTTAAACACACACCCGCAGCGGTTCGCATGAACGGGCTGCGATTCTGATGCGGTGCGGAATTCGCACAGAAACCGCTGCAAATTCCGCACCGCATCAGTGTGAACCCGGGCTCAAAGATATTGAAGAACATACAGCTTAGACACAGAAGCAGGTAGGACTCTGCTACAAAGTTTGTTAAAATCCTTGTACTCAAAACACAGAAAATGCTGTACAATAGACCCTCAAACTATGTGCAGTCCAAAACCCACAAGTCCAATCTTTAAATCAACTTCTTCTTGTGTTTCAAAAAATGCCTCCGTTAGTGTACCTCAAACAGAAAAAAATATTCACATAGTGCATTATCCTTTTATATATATCCAAATAATAGTGACTTTATTCAAGTGAATACCCAATCACATTAAATCAGTGAAAAAAGTAAACAAAAATGAAAAAAAACTGTGAAGCCAAAAAGTGAAAAGCCACGTGAATGTGAATCACTCTTCAGTGCAGTATATGATGGATATACTGCAGCAATTCTAGTAGGTTCCAGGATATGTGAACCAAAAGTTTATTAAGCCTGTATAATAGGCTTAGAAGGAGCTGTGTCCAGGTGTGACCGTTGGTATCTTGAAGGGGCCCCCAAGGAACAAAGGAAAAAGACCACCTACCTACTTTCAGTGGTGTCAGAAAGTGGGATAATTGCCAAGGAGTTCCAAGGCTGGTGGATCTTGGTGGTAATATGAAGGCAGACTATATGGAGTAAAGATCAATAGGAGGATTGTCTCCCACCTTCCTTTGGGAAAGATATATTAAAAAGCTTCCTTTTTTTTCTGAATATTGGTAAGGGTATGCATTCCTTATCTAGAAGTGTCACAGTGTTGGTTGAATGAAAGCACTGAAGAGTGATTCACATTCACGTGGCTTTTCACTTTTTGGCTTCACAGTTTTTTTCATTTTTGTTCACTTTTTCACTGATTTAATGTGATTGGGTATTCACTTGAATAAAGTCACTATTATTTGGATATATATATAAAAGGATAATGCACTATGTGAATATTTTTTTCTGTTTGAGGTACACTAACGGAGGAATTTTTTGAAACACAAGAAGAAGTCGATTTAAAGATTGGACTTGTGGGTTTTGGACTGCACATAGTTTTTGAGGGTCTATTGTACAGCATTTTCTGTGTTTTGATTTTTGTACATCTTTGGGGGTGAAGGTGTTGGTAGTGCTGTGGGGAATTGTATTTAATTAATTTTTTAGGAGAGTGGTTTTTCATTTTAAAATCCTTGTACTGTACACTGAACACCCAGAGGGAGTTTTTTTTTCTCAACAAAACTGGTAGTTACTCTTTAAAGTGATCATAAATGTTAAATATAAATGTGTTTAAAAAATAAAATAAATATTACTTAAATTAAAAAAAAAGGGGGGGGGGGGTGGAGATCTTAGACTCTTTGGATTCACTCTCCAGACTCCATGTTAACCGGAGAAAATCTAAGGCTCTCTCGGTGTCTCTTGCACCACAGATTTTGTATGCTCTCCGCCAGTCCTTTCCGTTTCAATGGCCTGCCTTGCCGCCATGCTTGGGTAATCGGCTGTCCCCTACCTACGTAGGCCTATATCAGGACAATTTTCCCCCCTTTTTTAAAGGCACTGTTGGATCTGTTGCACTCCTAAAGCCATCTTCCACTATCCTGGTTTGGCAGGATTAATGCGGTTTGAAGAAGTTTAACAATTTGGGCAGATACATCATTCTGAGTCCTTCCAGTTCCGGTACCCCCTCATATATGCAGAATTCAACAGCAGAACATTCTCCGCTTCATTTGGGGTTCTTCTCGACCCCGTCTTAATACTGTTCATGTGCAGAGTCCATGGAGGCCTCTCGGTTCCTAAGCTTCAAACTTATTATCTTGCAGCCAAAATCGTGAGACTTACCTCTTGCCCTTATGGGCTACAATTGATATGGTAGATTCCCACCCTACGCCCCTGTCTTCTTTGCCATGGTTCCCTCCCAACCTTCGGGCATGGGCTCTTCTCTATCGCATACTCTCAGTCTCTGGGATTTAATCAAATATTCTGCAGGCTTGATTTCGCCTCATTTACCTCTTCTTTGCTGCCCATTATTTTCTCCTGGAATGGACCAACCAGGCCAATTTTCTTGGTGGACGGAACACAAGTTCTCATATGTCCATTCCTTGCTTGCTCCAACCAGGATTGTTCCTTCGTTGTGCTCCGCTCATCCCATGAGAGACCATTGTGTCAACATTTCCGCAACCTCCAGCTTCGCCACTTCATTCAGAAGTTGATAAGACCTCATTCAGACCCTACCCTCCTTTCAGCTTTCGAAAGCATCTGTAGGTCATGTCCACGCTCAACAGGTATAATCTCTTTAGTATACTCCTCTATTATTTCCTCCAAGAAACCTCCACTGCGCCCCAACAGCATTGGGAATGTGAACTGGCAGTGACCCTGACATCGGTGGACTGGCAGATAATGATTCAAATGCCCTCAAAATGCTCCAGAAATGTCACCACTTTAGAACATGCCTATACGGTCAAATACCGCTGGTATTACACGCCAGCTTGACTGACCAGAATTCTACCACAATATCCATCGACCTGCTTTTGCGGGTGCCCCCAGCCAAGGACAATGACCCACATCTGGTGGCCTTGCCCTGCGGCGACGAGACTATGGATACGGGTTTATGCACTCCTACAAACTATACTTAATTCAGATATAAAAAGGAACCCATGAGGCCCTTCTTTTTAAACCAGAACACAAGCTGGCAATGTCCCATTTTACTTGCACAAAACTCACTATAGCATAAGCCTGGAAAACCTCAGCCCTCAGTTCCGAAGCGGTGAAACATCGCATAAACAATATAATGGGCAACGAGAAATCTATACTGTAACATAAAATAAGATATTCCTGCGCCAACAAAAAAGTGCCAAATACAAAATATGTGTATCCCTCTTCTAAATTGCTGCTGTGCAGAAAATGTGAAAACACAAATAATATTTATAAATAAAACAGGTCTTGAGAACGCCATGTGGGAGGGGCGAAACGCGTTGACGCAATTCCGGTCCACACATCCGACGTCACTTCCGGTGAGTGGAGCGCACACCGGGCGGTGTGTTCCAGCGGCCATTTTGAGGGATTTAGATTGGTCTCCCGCTTTTCCTCTGCTCTTACTGGCTTTTATTGATGTGAGGATCCTGGATTTTGTGGCTGTTGCTGGTTCTTAATATCAGGCTGGTGTTGGCTTAAATAAATGCGCCTTTTACAAGTTGGAAAAATGTGAGTGGCCTGCATTCTGTCTTCTGTTATAACATCTATCTGGCAATATTACACTATATAAGTTTTTTTCTCTGATACGGTGGAGTAAACAAGGATACTACGGTGAGGACCTGGAAGAAGATCCAAACCTGGTGGGGCAGGCCATTATTGATCTGATGCAAAGAGGGTTTAGGATTTCCCAAAAATCCTTAAAGGCTTTTCATTCACCAAAATCTGGTGAGTGTATTTGATGTTGGTGTGCACGGGTGATAGGTGGAAGTTTCCTAAAAGTATTTGGAATCCTCAGCTTTCATCACAAGTGGTTTTGGGGTGTCTTTCCTGAAGATTTTTTGACAGAGATTTGCACCAATGAATATGGGACATTTATGTTTTGTGATTTACTAAATTTGCATGAAGGTCTATTTTGCGCTGTTTTACTTATAAAGAGAAATCTATACTGTCGGACTCTCGCGACCGGTTCCTGCGAGTTTGGCAACCCTAGATATCCATACGCTTATCCCTTGCGCTTTGACCATACCTTACCAACATTGATACCTTGAACACATTACCCTCCGAGACCACTTTCCCCTTTTTAATTTCTAGTCTCTTTTTGGTCTTAGGTTAGCGTTCGCTCCATGCGATTGACAACTTGGACAGGTGTGCAAATGGCACTTGTTATTATATTAATGTAGATCAACTCTCTAGCGTGCCTTGCTGATTGTCAATTGTGCTGCTTTGCTCTGCATGTTTGCAGAGCCTGACTAATTCAGCTAAGTTCTGAACAAGTGCAGGATAGTGGACACCTTATACCATGGTGTCAATGAACCTCCCTCCCCTACGGTTTCTCGATTTTTTCTCTCTTCTTTTTTTTCATATTTCTGGTTTCCTCCCATTTCTTCTTGAAGATCCTCCTTTTCTGCTACTCATTCGAATGCATTAGTTCAATGCATTGGCTCCAGGGCCGAGCAGGCACTGTAACTTCGTGTAATCTCTTTCAATGTTGCGGTTTGATGCCCTATGGTTCCACCTCTAGCATTTAGGTTGTTACTGGTCTTTAAGTTCTATTTTTATGAGCACCAGAACATTACTTCCATGCTATGGTCTAGTTTATTTTGATCTCCACCTGCTCATTGTTGTTTCTCTTATTTTGTCATGATCGGATTCTGTATCCTGTACTGTATTGTATACATCTTTCTGGTATCTCAGTTAGTTGGCTCTGTATGTATAGGCCTGTTAATAAAACCCTTTGTAAAAGAAAAAAAGATCAATATACACTTTCAGCACAAAATGAATACCTATTCGCTCTAGAATATGACAGCCGGACATTTGATTATCAGATCAGAGGAAAGATGTTTTGAACCACCAGAGAGATAATTAGCAATGTGGCTAAACTAAAACCTCCAACTTGACTAGGCCTGCTCTTCATTTACACCCTGCCCTTGGGCTATGTCCACATTACAAAAAAAAATTTGCGACACCTCAGCAGCACTCCATCACCAAGAGCAGCAGACACCATATCAAGTGTAAGTACACCCAATCCCAATGCATGCCCAGAAAAATACTTTTGAATTGATTTACACAGCAAAATACATCTGAATTGTATAACGTGGCAGATGCTCACATGCCCTCCCAACCAATTCTCTTACCAATTTCTCTCTTGCGCTCATTGGAGGTGCTTGTGTGAAAGAACTCGGTCATAAGACTCTCCAGGGCTCTCAGTGAGGCCTCTTCTGATGCCTGCACACAAAAACATTGGACAATTTGAACATGAATGTGCTTAGGAAAAGAATGCATTAAAAAAAATAAATAAATAAAAAAAGCCAAAAAAAATGGGAAGCCAACTATATTTTTTTTTATTATATGCAATAAAAATAGAAGTATGTCGCTTTTATTAGACCTAGTGTCTAAATGGTACCTATCAGGGGCAGACTGACAACTCATGGGGCCCCCGGGCAATAGGGGATCATGGGGCCCCTGTGTCCTTGCCCAAACTCAAAAAGCCTATGAAAAAGGTACCAGGGCATCTCATGGGGCCCCCTACTGACCCCGGGCCCTCGGGCAGTGCCCGAGTTTCCAAATGGTCAGTCCGCCCCTGGTACCTATAAACAAAGCTGTCAACCTCCCCCTCCCCTTACCTGAAAGTTACCATCAATTGTCTCCTAAGAATGACAGATGGCTGGCGGTCATGCTGATCTACTGGCTTCAATGCTTTCTGAATCAAGGACCCACAACATGCTTGTTCAGTAATTGACTGAAAGTACTGAATCCAGATATAGGCAACTAGCATTTTGAATGTAATGTTGGCAATGGCAGCCCACGTACTTCTCTCACGACAGGATTCCGTCAATAATAAATTCTTGACTAAGCAAAATATTTAGGTTCAAGAAAACTCTGGGCATTGGTAGTGACCAAAAAAAAGATGGTTGGTCTTATGACCACATCCAACTGTCCTCAAAGGTCTACAAGCAAGAATAAAAAAAAGACACTGATTAGGATCTACCAGTAGATCACCAATTGGTAGCAAGTAGATGTTGAGACCTTGCGGTAAAAAAAAAAAAAAAAAAACCCACACAACACAAAAGGTGGATTCTGCCATCAGGCCAAGAAATGGAAAACCACCTAAAATCAGTGGCCAGCTTGAAGCCCAACTCTAGCGAAAACTTTTTTCCCCCCGTTAGAATGTTTTCCAAAATGTACTGCTGTGTGTCCCAATTTGGGAGTTTTCATCTTACTCACAAGAACAGGAAATTGGAAGAAATCTCCCCTCCTCCTCAAAGAAAGAGAAAGCTTTTTTTTTAAAAAAACAAAACAAAATAAAAACCACAGTGGTTCCAATCTAAAACCTGGTCCACTAAAAATAAATAAATGTGGATGGAGTTGTGCCATTTTATATGGCAAACCCAAATTTGGACCTTGGATTTTTTATTTTAAGACCTTTTGCATACAGGTCGTCTTTGGAGCCCCTTTTCCCACCACATAAAAAGGGCAAAAGAGAACCAAGTTTCTACCAATGGACGCCAGAGGGTCAATAAACCCAACAAGCAGTGATAATCTCAAATGAAGAACTCAATGCAGTAAGGCTACATTCACAAAAACCTTAAAAAAAAAAAAATCAATTGTTCTCTATGGTGTCTGTTCACACCTGATCGCGTGAACAGGCACCATAGAGAATTGATTTTTTTGAACTTTTAGCTACAAATTGCTCATGTGTGAATGCAGCCATAGAAAAGGGCACAGAAACCATGTACAATATACAAAAAAAGGACATGAATCATAGGTGTTTTTGGCAGCACACAGGGGTGCACCTCTTTTTGTTCCAACTCATACAGACATCAAGGCTGATTTAATAAAGGATACAGGATTTGAGAATGTTCACGCAGTTGTAACTATTCAATTTTCCAATCATGTGATGAAATAAGTAAATTTGCATTTCACATTGGATAACTCAACTGAATTTTCTTCACACTATATATTCTGCAAACATTCTCAAGTCCTTTAGTGAATCAGTCCCAATACTTATTTTCTAATAAATAAGTAGGCAGGTACATCCTCCTAAAATGCTCCCCCAATGGTCTATGTAGACATCAAATCGTGCTTACAACAAGTTGTAGTATTTACTCATTTCCTGCATGAATCATCTATGGTGAAGGATGTAACAACTCTTTCAACCATTCAAATAACAAATATAAAGAGAACCTATCCCTCCCAGACTCATAGCAGCACCATGATGGATATATTGTAAGCTAACAGTTCGGATTTTTCCCCCACTCTTTCTACTTTTCTAATAATGGTGGCCTGGACCCCTGCCCCTAGAATCCTTCACTTTGTATACTACGCTATGAGTCCCATGTTGAAAGAGAAAGAAAAAAAAAAAAGGAGGGAAACGGAAAGGGAAAAAAGGAGGGAAACGGAAAGGAAAAAAGGAGGGAAACGGAAAGGAAAAAAGGAGGGAAACGGAAAGGAAAAAAAAGGAGGGAATCGGAAAGGAAAAAAGGAGGGAAACGGAAAGGAGGGAAAAAAGGAGGGAAACGGAAAGGAAAAAAAGGAGGGAAACGGAAAGGAAAAAAGGAGGGAAACGGAAAGAAAAAAGGAGGGAAACGGAAAGAAAAAAGAAAAAAGGAGGGAAACGGAAAGAAAAAAGAAAAAGGAGGGGAAACGGAAAGAAAAAAAAAAACAAAGGAGGGAAACGGAAAGAACAAAAAACAAAGGAGGGAAACGGAAAGAAAAAAAAAACAAAGGAGGGAAACGGAAAGAAAAAAAGACAAAGGAGGGAAGCGGAAAGAAAAAAGAAAATAAAGAAAAAAGAAGGGAAACTGAAAGAAAGAAGAAAAGAAAAAAAAGGAGGGAAAAAAGGAGTGAAACGGAAAAAAAAAAAAAAAATAAAAAAAAAAGGAGGGAAAAGGAAAAAAAAGGAAAAGAAAAAAGCTGTGTAAAATGTAGTAAGTCCCCTGCCACAAACCATTAAGTTACTTTTGTGGAAAATGTATTTATCCCCCATTGTCCAATTATACTTGATAACGTGTCGGAGCAATTGTTTTGACTGTAGTAAATCATAAATGTTTGTAATACCGTTTTATAGGACATCTCTGAAAACAATACTGTAACAATTTATTGACTGGAAAAAAAAAAAATGGACTGTAAGAATAGAATCAGATGGTTTCTGGAATTTTGAATCAATGACTTGCTGTAAGTCTTGTCCATCTCAACCAACGTCTGGAACACTTTGTCTAACACAAGTTAGAAAATAAAACACCAAATTGGCTGATTGTCCCCATATTGATTGCAGTGATTAAAAAAACAAACCCAACAAACATGTTGCATCACATTACCCATAAAAGGCATAAAAAAAGTACAGTTTTGGACCAACTGACACAGTGAATCGCTCAGGAACGTGCTCTGCATTCCTGTACTATACACATGCAGTTCTGTGTGATGTGATTTCAGCTCATTTGTTCTGAATGGGCTAAAACTGCACCGCACGTAGTGCATACGCTACTTTTGGAAACTCAGTGCAACCGCATCACATGATACTTCTGTACCATGCGATCTAGTGCAGGTAAACGCACTGCGTTTGCGGCATGTGTTTGGGGTGTCATTAACTTAATATTTACACGTGTTGAAGATTGCAGTAGCAGTACACTTTAAACGCGGTGTGTGGGAAACACACGGGATGCAGATTTCGGTGTGATCTGGCCCTTTAAATGGTATACCTGACAAAGGGGAACAACAAAAAGTTATTGCTCATCCTGATGTTCTCCATGCTGGTAATCTGAGTGTTTCCCCCGTCGGCTGGCGATGTGGCGAGGAAACTGGCACTCTCTTTCAAATTTTCTGGACTTGCCAACACATTGCACGTCTCTGAAGAGAGATCCTTAACCTTTTGCAGCTACTTTTACAGGCTCCTATTTAATTTGAGACCATCCACCTTTTGCTGGGCCTTCCTTTTTCAGGCCTCTCCAGATCTGTCAGGAAACTATCCTCCTATGTTTTAACAGCGGCCAGGAGAACTATGCCCATGCATTGGCTTTCTACTATGCCCCCTAGACGATCGAAATTGGTGAAGGTTATAGCAGAAATTAGATGAATGAAGTACCTCGCTGCTTTGCATGCCAACTCTATCCCCATCTTTGAAGCAGTTTGGGAACCTTTGGATCTTTACGTTTCTGATTTACTCACTCAATTGTCTGAAAATGATGGCCAATTCACTGTATGTACCTATATGTCTCTCATCGGTGAGCCTTAGTCCTTTCCTTGTAAAAGTTATTCCACGATTTTATGCAACTCTGTTGGTTGTAAACTTTTGAAAATCAATAAAGTAAATTATTAAAAAAAAAAGAGTTATTTCTCATAAATGGCAATTATAGAGGGTTTACAGATACTAGTTCTACCATATAATGTGTGATAGTCAGTGGGTGGACACTTTCGCCCAGCAGTACTAGGGTCGCTGGTTCGAATCTCAACCACAGCACCACCTGCCTGGAGTTTGCATGTTCTCCCTTTGCCTGTGTGGGTTTTTCTTCCGGGTACTCCGGTTTCCTCCCACACTCCAAAGACGTGCTGGTAGGTTAATTGGCTCCTGTCTAAATTGTCCCTAGTATGTGTATGTATGAATGTGAGTTAGGGACCTTAGATTGTACACCCCTTGAGGGTTAGGGACCGATGTGAATGTACAATATATGTGTGTCTGTAAAGCGCTGTGTAAATTGACGGCGCTATAGAAGTACCTATAAAAAAATAAAATAAACCTGTAATAAGGCTCCACCTGTGATTGGAAGAGGACAAATGAATGGAAAGCCATTCCAATGGAGGTGCATTTGTAAATTTTCTTAACCACTTCCAGTCCAGACACTTTCACCCCCTTCCTGTCCAGGCAAATTTTCAGCTTTCAGCACTTTGAATGACAATTGCACGGTCATGCAACACTGTACCTATATGAATTTTTTAGCTTTTTTTGAGACAGATAAATCTTTATTTTGGTGGTATTTATTCACCACTGGGATTTCTATTTTTATTTTGCTATGTAAATGAAAAAGTCCAAAAATTTTGAAAAAAAAGTGTTTTTTTCTTATAACATTTTACAAATAAATATTTCATCATAAATCTTGGCCAAAATGTATTCCCAAATTAGTTTATAACCAAAAATTATAATTTTTTAAACATTTCTTTTTACATTTGTATTTATTTTTTTTTTTTAAATACTGTCACCCTAGCAGTACAGTGTCACCATGGTGACACTGT